TATCTTTTACATTATTTTTTCAATTTTATTAACTATTTCACTAATTATATATAACATAATAATTAGATAGAATTTAGTTTATATGTTAAACATAATAATTCGATATGGTTGAATGAAACTTTTTCATTCAGAACAAGAATTTGAAACGATTAAAAATAATTTTTTTATCTATTTAAGGAATCAATTAGAAATGAGTATTAAGGTATTCGTTCGAATACGAACCGTGTATTTCAAATATCGGGTTTTGAATTTCAAATTAAACTTCGTCCATATATTTAGAAGAACCCAAAAATATTCAAATGACTAATATACAATTAGATATATAGTAACACATCTAAATATATAACTCTAATCACTTAAAATAAATATTAATTTATAAAAAGGAAAACTAATATCCGCACGGATGTACGGATCAAGCTCTAGTTTACTTTTATTCTGATTTACAATCTAAAGAGATTGCTGGTCTCCACCAAAAAAAAATCTCAATACAAGAACATTTATTTAATATTGATTTTTATAATGACATGATTGAAAATAGGCTTTATCTGCCTATACAGTTGAAGAAACTGAATGAATAATCCATTTATGTAAATTATTCAACATTTGCTTCGTCCTATAATTTTGCTGTTACCAAATTATTTTATCGGACATCGTTGGTGAACTACACACATCAAAAACATTCTTCAACGTTGTTCGTGATTTAGATTTCCAAATTTTTCAGCCTTACATTCAGTATTTTATTTATCAAATCCTAAATTATAACTATTCTCCGTGTGAAGGCATTATGCTATCTTTTTTGGGAAATTGCTGAAACTAGCACTTTGATGATACCATATTTCACTTTTACATTAACCAACTTTACACTCAAAATTTTGATAAGCAAAAGACCTTCATACCCCTAATTAAATAAACCTAAAGCTAATCTTCCTCTTGGAAAAAACAGCGGAGGAGGAGATAACAGTTTCCGTCTCGAAATCGGATCAATCAGCCGTCGTAACAATCCGACTCCAGAATCCGGCGACCAGCAAAGGTCGTACTCTATCGGAATCCGGCGACCAGCAAAAGTTTGCATCAATTGCAGCTGAGAAGATGAGAAGAAGAATAAGGAAAGGTTCGTGAAGTTGTGTCTCAAGCTCTATTTTGCCTGTTTACGTTTGCTTCTGGAATGGATACTCGTCGTCCAAATCTTCCGAGAACTGGCGAGTTTTTCAGTGGCTATTGGGCTAAGTGTTTTGCTGTGGCAACAGCTTAGCTAATTTTATGAAGGAAAGACTTACTTGAGCCATTTAAGTTCTCAAGGAAGAGAAGAAGATGGTGAGAAGAGCTGTGGGAATCTATTGAAGTTTTTTGGATGTCCGCTTTTGATTGAAAGGCACTTGCCAGCTATAAGGAACTTGAGGAAGAGACATAAGACATAAGAAGAGAATGGTGAGTTGAAGATGTTTGTTCTGTTTCCACCTGCAATATTTGGAGCTTGTTTTTGGTCATTCAGAATACATTAATCATACACTTGGAGCTAACAGGTAATAGAGATGAGCAAAGTTCATATCTCATTGTAAAAAATCGTGTTCATAGAAGAAGGAGAGTGATTCGTGGCAGGCAAGGAGTCATTTTGTGGAGTATGGAGTTGTTATTGATTCAAAAGGCAATGTTGTTGACGAGGTACACATTCAAAAGCTCTCAACTTTTTTAATTTTTATTGACTCTTATCATAAAAAGCTTCAGACTTTGTGATACAGAATCTGAGTCTGCTTATTAGGTTTTAGCTGTGCCTATGTTGGCTCCTCAGTCATACACAAGGGAAGATGTAACTGAGCTTCAATGTCACGGTAGCGAAGTTTGTCTATGCACACTCTTGTTTTCTCTTTCGGTTGTTGCTCATGATAATATCTATATCTTCTTGGTTTTAGATGATCTCATCAAGTTGTCAAAGAGTGACACCAAAGGGAACAAGCGCAAAATGTCAAGGAGAGCCAAGGTAGAGAGATCTTCATATAGTGCTGCAAGAGATAATAATACCTCTAAAGAGAAGCATTATGTGAGCTCACTTTCTGGAGTTAGACATGTTAGATATGGCGTGTGCTCAGCTGATCTGTTTTCTTGGCTTCTTTGTCTTATCTTTTGAAGATTGTTGTTTCTTTTGCTTGAATTCGACTAGTATTTGTAACTTATCTTAAAATTTTGCAGGGTGCTGTTGCTAAGAGAGGGTCTAACTTCAAAGGAAATCAGTTTCCTGTTACATGGTTTTATAAACCCTTATAAATAGTTTTATAAACCTTTATAAATAGTTTATAAATATTCATAAGTCTTTTATCAAGAAGAGTAGTAATTTCATGCTTATCCGCTACTACATCTCCTAACACAGCCTGTGATTGAGAAGTTGCAGGCTTCTGAAAAGTGAATCTTCAGGTCGAGGTAGAGGAGTAGCTACATATGCTGATTGTTGTTTTCTTCTTTTGATAAAAGGTGGAGCTTTGAGAGTGAACCAGCTCAGATTAGCTTGTGGGAACAGATTGAAGTGCAATGCTCATGGTCCTACAATGAATCTACTTGAAAGATTTTCTCTGAGTCGTCAAGATCCTTGAGCAACATCTTCTTTGACTTGGTGGAGAGTCCCTGTAAAAAGAGGATTGATGTTTAATGAAAAACTTGCTTTCATAGTTGGAGCTAAACTAAAACGCTTACCCTGATAAGCAAGCAACAAAGCTAGGTTCACCAGGAGAAGACTTCTTGAACCGGCTGTTTGGCAAATACACGTCAAACACCGCTCTTGCATCACTTATCTGCATATGGATAGTGTGCTTTTTCTTCTGATGAGTACATGTGAAGCACACACTCTCACTTCCCTACGCCTAGTTTGATTTTGTTTGTGTCTCTGCCAATGGATATGTTTACCTGTGCATAGAGAATAATTTGTGTCTAGTTTTCTGCAAGTGAAGGCAGGTAACATTTAAACACATATAAATGGTTTGTAAACCCTTTGTAAATTTTTATAAACCCTTATAAACCCTTATAAACATTTTAAAAACCCTTATAAACCTTTATAAATGGTTTATAAACTCTTATAGGTTCTTATTAACCTTATATTATGATTTAGAAGTCTTGTAAATGATTTCTATATTTATAAAAGATTTTATAAATTTAAATGGTTGTATAAACTCTTATTCCCTTTACTCATCTCCGAGAACGGAGCCATCCACGGCAAAGTTAGATTCCAAGAGTCTCTCAAGAAGGTTCTTAAGATGAGTTTTGTTACCACAACCCCAAAGTTTGTCCAAGCTCTACGCATGGTTTTCCAGATGAGTGAGGAGACGATTCAAGAGAAAGTTAACTTGTACAAAAGGTTAGGGTTGAGTGCACAAGAAGTATGGGAGATGTTCAAGAAGTGGCCTACTTTCATGACCAACTCCGAGAAGAAGATAATTCAAACATTCAAAACGTTCAAAAAGTGTGGACTAGTGGAAGAAGAGATCCTCGTAGCGTCCAAGAAGATCCTCGTTACCCTTTATAAACTTTATAAACCCTTATAAATTCTATATAAAATCTTTATAAGCACATGTAAGTGATTTTGTAACCCTTTTAAATTCTTATAAATCATTATAAACATTTTTAACATTTTGTGATGACTTGAAAACATAACTTATGGGAGCAACATAAACCCCCAAAATCACTTATGAATTACCCAGAAAGGGACATTACTTTGTTAATGAGAGTTTTAAGTTGTAGTTAATTAAGTGGTTAAACTAGAAAAGTCAATGCCTCAATGATGCAGTTGAAATAGATAAGTGTAATCTAATATACGCAAAATATTAGTGAGTCGACAGAAAATTTTATAAGAAAAATCAGATGTTTATTTAGAAAAATTCAGATGTTTATTAGTGAGTCAACCTTTTTCTATATATTCTTCGATGGATTATTTGTGTTTGCAAGAACGAAACATCTATAATGATTAATAAAACTATTTACGTGTGTTTATAAGAGTTTATAAAACCTTGTACGAACCGTTTAAGAAGTTGATAAAAGACTTATAAATATTTATAAACTATTTATAAAGGTTTATAAAACTATTTATAAGGGTTTATAAAAACATGTATAAGAACTTATCAACCATTTATAAGATTTTATAAATCTATTTACAAGGTTTATAAATCTATTTATAAGGATTTATACAAAATATTAAAATAGTTTAATAATCTTCATAAAACAATTTATAAGAGTTTTCATTTAAAAGAGTTTATAAAAATATATAAATTCGTACAAAAATTCATAAGTGGATCCTTATAAAGGTATTTATAAGTGTTTATAATGCTCTTATCAGTGTTTGAAATTATTTACCAAAATCATTTTCTAACCAAATGCATCATGAATGTATGTGTAGTTATAGAATTCATAAATGATATTGCAATGCTTTAAATCATCTTGTAAGGGTTTATAAGAGCTTTTTCCTTTATGTTCATAGCTTTATAAGAGTTGATCAATCAAATATGAAAGTTTAAAATCATTTTATAAAGTTTTGAAAACTATTTATAAGGGTTTATAAAACTATTTATAAGGGTTTATAAAACCATGTACAAGAACTTATCACCCATTTATAAGAGTTTATAAATCTATTTACAAGATTTATAAATCTATTTATAAGGATTTATAAATCTATTTATAAGGATTTATAAAAAATATTAAAAGAGTTTAATAATTTTCATAAAAAATTTATAAGAGTTTTCATTTAGAAGAGTTTATAAATCATTTATAAAAATATATAAATTCTTACAAAAATTCATAAGTGAATCCTTATAAAGATATTTACAAGTGTTTATAATTCTCTTATCAGTGTTTATAAAACCATGTACAAGAACTTATCACCCATTTATAAGAGTTTATAAATCTATTTACAAGGTTTATAAATCTATTTATAAAGATTTATACAAAATATTAAAAGAGTTTAATAATCTTTTAATGAATTGATCACTCTCTTCTCCGGCCTGCAAGTAAATTATATACCCTTAATCATGTGCATGTACCATTGATACACACAGTTTCCTCAAGGCTCTCCTCCACTCCTCTCGAATCATCCATGCAAGTGCGCCTGTTTCGACGTTTTCAACCACAAAAAAAAACAACAACAATGTTTCTTGCTTTCTTTTTCATTTAAATTCAAGTCTACATATAAGATGAATTTTGGAACCTGTGGCATCAATTCTATTTCACCGTCTTTGATACTACCACCACCAGTAGCCCTATCAACCAGCACCGACAACTCTACTTTCTTGTCTTTTGTGTAGATTCCCAGATTAAGCTGAATATTACTCACACAACACAATCCTTTTATTAACACTTACTCAACATTTGATTGATCTACTCCAAAGTTTTCACATCAATAGTTTACCGGATAGTAGTTTCCTGCTATTGGTTCATTCATTTTGAGAACCCAGTCTGTTCTGTTATCCCTGACCTGCAACACAGCGTACATTCAAAGTTCTTATACCCTATCAATTCTATTATAATACACATCGATGTATAATGCAAGTTATCAAGTAAGGGAAAACTAGCCTGAGCAGCAGATGCATTGCCAGATCTCCTTGCCTCAGTCAAGTCAGATTTCAGTAACTCGACAGGTTGGAACTGTTCTGTGAGTCCAAATGCAAAACCGCATCAATCTGTTTCCCACTGTTCAAGAGAACTTCAATCACACCTGCACATCAAAGATTAGGACTAATGGTGAAGGTAGATAACTTTGATGTGCACTACAAACGTTAGAACATACAAATTCATCTTATCTTTAGATCCTTGACCAAAGAGTTGAGTTAACTCACTAAATACCACACATCAACCTTCACATCAAAATGTCAAAACATGTATGATAACAAGCCATATTTTTAAAATTAGAGAACAAACCAGGGATTTTTTTCAGTCAACCCAAGATAAAGGTTTATAAGAGTTTTAAACTGATTTATAAAGGTTTATAAGCTAATTTATTAAACTGTTATGGATAATTTATAAATCCTTATTATATTTATATGATTTTATTAAATGACTTATAAGTGTTTATAAAGATATAAAATGATTTATAAAGGTTTATAAGTTGACTATAAGAGTTTTAAACTGATTTATAAAGGTTTATAAGTTAATTTATTAATGTTGACTATGATAAATGACTTATACAATGATTATAACCTAAATTAGAAAGGCTTATAAACTAATTTATAAAAACTTATAACTAATTTATAAGGGTTTATAAAATCATTTATAAGGTTTATAAACTAATCTAATAAGGTTACTAAGTTAATGTATAAAAAGCTTATAAAATGATTCATAAAGGTTTATAAGTTAATTTATAAGAGTTTATAAACTAATTTATAAAGGCTTATAAACTAATTTAAGGGTTTAGAAGTTGATTTATAAATCCTTATAAATGGTTTATAAATCATTACCAAACTACTGCTAGAGAAAAAAACACATTTTCAAACTATCATCATGAGGTTAAATCATATTTTACCAACCTCAGATTTGTCCAGCTTCCTTCTAGCTTTGTCCCTCTTCTTCGCTTCCCATAAATCTATCTTCCTGTTTAACTTCTTGTACCTGAGCTTGTGTAATAAATATGTTAAAGTGTAATAAACAACACACATGTATAAGTACTTTTTGTGTGTATTATTTGAGACTAACCTTGCTTTGATCTTAGCTAGTTCAGTTTTTTCCCAAGTTCAGTTTATAACACATCTAAAAAAGAATTCAACAGCTAAACTGAGAATCAAACAATGAAATTTGTTCTGTTAATTAGTTAAAACCTTTGGAGAAACTCATCGTTGTCTAAGCCACCAAACTTCTTGAGTCTGTTACCTACAGATTCTTGGAAAGCATTGCGCACGGAACGGATGTTGAGTTTCCCGTAAACAATCTGCAGCCTTATAGTCATCTTTATGTCGGCTTCCATGAGATGATCCAGGAAATCCTTGTTTCCCCTGAGCTCAGAAGCTGCAAGGCTTGCGTATTTCTCACCTACAAGTTTCTTCACATCGTCACAGTCAGCATATATGCCTAAGATATACAGATGCGAGCCTTATCATTTAACTTAATGACAATAAACAAAACAAACCAATGCAACAAACAAAAGATTCAGTTCAGAACATGAAAAGTAGATCGGTTGAATTTACCGAATGCGTAGACGTCAATGTTCTTCAATCCCAGCACGCTCTTCTTCCTCAGCCCCACGCCGAGTAATCTCCGGGAATCTCCGATTGTAGCCGAGAACGAGAAACCGGTCTTGGGTTCAACAACGGATTCAGAGCTAGAATCCGCTAGAGTCATAGATCCCCATGGTAATAGAGACGAACGGTGAGAGGAGAAGACCCAATCTAGAACCGGATGCCTGGGATTCCGTGACGCCGCAATCGCAGCTCCAGTTCAGTTTATAGCTACGAGAAAAAGAGGACGAAGAAGACGGCGTCGGTGAGGTTGAGTGTGAGTAGGACATTTAGGTCATTTACCCATTAATGATCTAGGTATTTATGAAAATGTCCCTTGAGTGGTGGTAAAGTTGAATTGTGGTACAACAAAAATGGTATTTTTGCAATTGTCCCATCTTTTTTTAGGGGAGAATTTCAATTATATCACTTTGGTGGTACCACTTTTTATGTTTACCATCAACAAAGGAATATTTTCAAAAATACACATTTTATTAAAGGATAAAAGACTCTTATATTCTTGTTCTTTATATATATACATAAAATAAATATTAAATAAAATATTAACTCTAAACTCTAAAACATCAATTCTAAACTCTAGGCCCTAAAAAGTAAACCCTAAACTCTAAAAATCAACCCTAAACCCTAAAATATCAATTCTAAACCTTAAACCCTAAACTCTAAACCCTAAAAAGTAAACCCTAAACCCTAAAAAATCAACACTAAACCCTAAACTATCAATCATAATCCCAAAACCCTAAACCCTAAATTCTAATAGTATTTTGACTATTAAAATTTTAATAGTAAAGTTGGTTAATGTAAAGTTGAAAAGTGGTATCTTGAAAGTGTTATTTCTGGCAATTTCCCTTTTTTTTGGACAGGTAATAGTATTCGGAAAAGATATGACTATCATTGTTTTCCTTTTCTACATTTACATCTTCTTTTTTTTTTTTTTTTGACTTACATCTTCTTTTCGTTTGAAAATTCATGTTCAAAATTCAAGATCAGAGGATCTTTGTAAGGAAATTTTCCAGCTTACTAAGAAAAAGTTCGACCGACTTTTTTCTAATATGCTTGATGATTCCTTTCCAGAAACATGTTTCCAAATTTTCAAATCCACTCTTTTTATTTGATGATTCCTCTAACTTCATGTTCGTTCTTCAAGACTTTTGGCTTGTTGAGTTCACTTAGTTGTAGCCTAAAAAAGTACGTATTATCAAGCATGATAAAACTAATCTAGTCAAGGACATTCGATCAAAGAAAAACCTTGAAAAAACACAAAAAGAAGATGACAAAACATTTATTTATTGTACTGCACACAGATATGATTCTTATATGTGACTATAGGAGAAGCCATATCTTTTTTTGGCACGACACTTATAATAAATAGTAGAATTATTGGAGTCCCGGCCCTCTTTGCGAGCGGTCCTAATTAACCCATTCACCACCAGAATAGCTTCCTCAATATTTGACTTGTAAATTGTAATCTTGTCCAAAATAGTATAAGGAGTAGAGATGACTGGAGTGCTAAGAGACCATTCATAAACGCAACTTTTACGGTTAGTTGCAGTTGACAACATTTCAAAACAATCATGGAAACCGTTTTATACCGTTGTGGACCGTTTTGTATCGCTCAAAATCAAAAGGTCATTTCCGCAAATTACGGTTGCGGATGATTGCGGATGATTGCGGTTGGATAAAAAATATATATTAAATTTTAAATTAGATTTAGATTTCTTGTATCCTAACTAATTACTTACAAACTAATGTACTTTATTTTCAGTCATTGTTTATACTGTTCACGTTAAATCTTATCTAGTTTCTGTCTACTAAAAGCATGGCTTCCATACAAGAAGAGAGTCAAGAAGCAAACGTAAGTGGAACATAGTTTTTTTTTCCATAATAACTTCATTTTTTGATGATTGATGATATGTTTTGTTGTTTAAATTCTCTGAATCACCAGTATTTGATCTATATATATATATATATATATATATATATATATATATATATATATATATATATGTGTGTATTTTTTGTAATTGGATATATGTTTCAACTGGTCTTTGAATAGAAATTCCAACGATCAGATGAAACAACTCGTTTGTTATTAGAACTTAACATTTGAAAAACAAGATGGAAATTCTTAAAAGCAAAAATTTGAGTGAGCAGGGAATACAAAACGTTCTCAAATTAATAAAAAACAGTAACTAAGGGGGATGAGTTGGAAGCATGCTAAAAATCATTAGGATACTGTAAAGAATTTACAGTATGTATAAGCAGAATCCAGAAAATCCACGTCTCTGAACAAATTTTGTCGAGTATGTTATACAACTCGATGAAATATTTGGTGATCATTAGATGCATGAAGTTATAATCATGCTATAGATTTATTTTTTTAATTGTTATATATTGTTTTGTTATTGGGTTTTAAAATTATCAATTTTAATGAAAACTTTTTATAATTATTTTTCGTCTATTAAATAATTTTTTATTAATTAACTTTTGCGTTTATGGGTAAATCAATCAGAATATGACCCACAAACGCAACAATTTTCAAATGTTATGCTAGTCATACAAAATACTTAATAACATTTGTAACTGCAATCACTCGTATCTGTAAACTTCCGCAAACCTCCGTAATCGCTGTATTTAAACTAGGCTCTAAATGAATCCACAGTTAAATTTCACTGACTCACTTTTCTTCACTAAAGACTTGACCTTAGACAAGTGAACTTGTTAAAACGGGCTCAGAATTACACATTTAATGGATTTAATCTTCGGAAAGTTTCAATTCGGTAACTAACACATATCTACGCTAATAATTTAATACAAATGAAGGGAGACAGATACCTATCACGACTTCTCCAATTTGCCTTTAATGAGGCTGTCTGTATATGAACGTACGTGTGGATAACATGTCTTTTAACAATTGTTATCAGTATATATATTTGTGAAAATTGATATATACATAAATATATATACTATTATTATATGCATGTACCTATGAAGCATTATGCATATGAAAGTACATGCCTCATGTTCCCTTCTTGTTTTGATCATTGGTATAGTTTCCACTTTACTATATATAGTCTTCTCCGTCGTTTGATGTAGCCTTATAGGCCATTTACATAATATTAATGAGCCAGGTGAACTTAAGGTTTAGTAATTAGAATATCTCCAACCCCATTATATTTCCAACTCGATTTTATACTCTCTCCATTTCTTTTTATAAATAGTTTTTAAAAAATGTTTTTATTTCAAAATATAAATAATTTTTAAATATCTAGGTAATTTTTACATTTATTGAATATAGTATGTCCAATCAGATAATACTAATTTATTTATGATTGGTTTAGTTATACTCAATTAATATATTAAATGTTATTTTAAAAATAATAATAACCTTTTTTAATAAATGTACATTCAAATAAAACTACTTATATAAAGAAATGGAGAGAGTAGTAAAATATGAAATGTGATTAAAGATACTCTTAATATAAGTCACATGCGTGTATATAAAAAGTTTGATAGATTTCATATTCTAAATATTTTGAAGACAAAAATTAAATATGTAACTATTATTATTGTTTGAATATAAGGAGGTTCAGAGCCCAAATCTGTAACTTCACAGGTTCAAAACTACATCATATAATATTAGATTTATCTCAACGGTATTTCGAACTAAAGATTTCTAACACGATAGTCTCGATCATTTCCAGTTTAGCTAATGAACTCTAGTCAAATATGTAATAGTATAAATATCTGTATACGTATATATGTTAAAAAGAAAAAAAAACAATATATATATAGATTTGCAGAGGAAAGATCACAATAGTCTGTTGTTATTATTAAATTGTAAAATTGATAATCGATTATTAATTCGTTAGAGAGACAACAGTTGACTGGACAGAAAACATATCATGTGCTTGCATTATGATAAGCTAAAGAGTAAATGATGATCACAAAAGGATTTTATTCCTGATTATATATATATTCGTTTGATTAGTTAATTCATTTTTTAGTTTGTCCACAATCTCATCTCCATTTTCGTACCAGACAATTGCTAAGGGCTTAAGTAGCATAAAATTATGGGAATCTTTATATACTTCCGTTGACTACTAATGCGACGTATAACGATGAACAAGACTTTCACATTAAACCAAAAAGATATACATTTAAAATTTTGAAAATTATTATTTTATAAAAATATTTTTTTAATTAGTAAATGAATATTTATTATTTTATAGTGAGTAGGTTTCAATAAGTTTGTATAAAACTAAGTCAGTAGTTTTAAACAAGTTTTTATAAAAATAAATAAATGATGCGATATTAAAAATGAGAAATTGTCAGAAATAACACTTTCAAGATACCACTTTTCAATTTTACACTAACCAACTTTACCATTAAATTTTTAATACTCAGAATACTATTAGAATTTAGGGTTTAAGGTTTAGGGTTTAGGATTGATTGTTTAGGGTTTAGTGTTGATTTTTTAGGGTTTAGGGTTTACTTTTTAGGGTTTAGATTTTAGGGTTTAAGGTGTAGAATTGATATTTTAGGGTTTAGGGTTGATTTTTAGGGTTTAGGTTTACTTTTTAGGGTCTAGAGTTTAGAATTGATGTTTTAGGGTTTAGGGTTAATATTTTATTTAATATTTATGTTATGTATATATATAAAGTACAAGGATATAAGGGTTTTTTATCATTTAATAAAATATGTATTTTTGAAAATGTTCTTTTGTTGATGATAAACATGAAAAATGGTACCACCAAAGTGGTATAATTGAAATTCTCCCATTAAAATTCATAAAATGATATGCATATAAATCCGAAATTATGACTAAGAATATCGGGTATTTGTATTGCCATTCAAGTGACGAATATCCTTAATATCGATGTTGGCGTCAAAGATAATATTTTATACACACACAAATTTATGAATTAAATTTTTGAAAAATATTATTTTATAAATATTATTTTACTTAATAAACTAATATATCTATATTATTAAAAGAGAAGTACACATATAAAATTCTCCTGAGTTTTTCTAATTATTTACAATGTTATGTCACTGAAGTTATTAATTCACCTACCTTATAGGATTCTTTGTCTTTTCACTTTA